CAGCGATCCTCCCGCCTGGGCCTCCCTCCCGAGTAGCTGGGACGACAGGCGTGAGCCACCACGCCCGGCTCGTTTTTTTTCTATATATTTTTAGTTGGCCAATTAATTTCTTTCTATTTTGAGTAGAGACGGGGTCTCGCTCTTGCTCAGGCTGGCCTCAACCTCCTGACCTCACGCACGATCCTCCCTCCTCGGCCTCCCTCCCGAGGAGCTGGGACTACAGGCTTGCACCACTGCACCTGGCTAATATTTTTCTATATATTTTTCCTCGTTTAATTAATTTGTATTTTTTTATGGTAAAGACGGGGTCTCGCTCTTGAGCTCAGGCCGGCCTCGACCTCTTGACCTCAATCGATCCTCCTGCCTCGGCCTCCCTCCCGAGTAGCTGGGACGACAGGCATGCGCCACCACGCCCGGCTCATTTTTTTTTTCTATATATTTTTCCTCGTTCAATTAATTTCTTTTATTTTTAATAGAGACGGGGTCTCGCTCTTGAGCTCAGGCTGGCCTCGACCTCCCGACCTCGAGCGATCCTCCCTCCTCGGCCTCCCAGAGAGCCGGGACGGCGGCCGTGAGGCTCGCTCAGAGTCCTGGCCTCCAGATGACCCGGGCCGGGGCGGAGAAAAGAGGCTCCGAGGCCCAGGGAGGCCCCCGAGCCGGCGGAGAGATTGGCACGGGCCTCTACCCTCCGCCTGCAGGAATTCGAGGCCTCCCTCCCTCCCTCCCCGGCTCATAAACCCGCCCTTCCTCCTCCCGCCAGCTCGGGAGGGTCACCCGCCGGTCACCCTCGGGAAAAGCCGTTCCCGGAGGCCCCCGCCAGCCGCTCGGGGTTGAGGCCCCGAGATCATGCAGGCCTTGGAGGCCGAGGCCCAGTTCTTGAGGACCCTGGAGGCCGCTTACTGCAAAGAGGCCGCAGGTAGAGGCCCATGTGGCCTCCTCTTGTCCCCTGTCCCCTCTGAGCACAGAGGCCCCCCCGGGCCCGGAACGAGCCTCTTGAGAGCGGGCTGGCCTCAACTTTTAGAGGCTGTGCCGGTCTCTGTGCAGGACTCCGAGCCCGGCGTGGAGGCTGGGCCTCCGAGTTGAGGCTGGAGGCCGGGCCTCAATGCTGGGTCTCCCCTGCTATTATTCCAGGGCTCCACGGTGGGGGGGGGACAGGAGGGCGCTTGAAAGGTCCCCGAGTCCCAACAGGCGACATGGAGTCCGGTCCCCCCCGGGCAGGGTAGAGGCTGGAGGCTGGAGGCTGGGAGAGGCCATTGCTGGCCGGGGCCTCCTGGAAGTCCTGTTTTTTTTTGTTTGTTTTTTTTCTTTTGGTTTTGGAGACAAGAGTCTCGCTCTGTCGCCCGGGCTGGAGTGAGTGCCGTGGCGTCAGCCTCGCTCACAGCAGCCTCCGAATCCTGGCCTCCACCAATCCTCCTGCCTCGGCCTCCCTCCCGAGTAGCTGGGACTACAGGCATGCGCCTCCACGCCCGGCTCGTTTTTTTTTTTTTTCTATTTTTATTTGCCCAGCTTATATTTTTAGTTGAGACGGGGGAGTCTCTGCTCTCGAGCTGAGGCCGGCCTCCGACCCCCAGCCTCCACCCTCGAGCCATCCTCCTTCCTCGGCCTCCCAGAGTGCCGGGGTGACAGGCGTGGGCCTCCGGACTTCGGGGACGTGGCCTGAGTGAGTCTGGGGCGTCCGGGTGGCGTCCCTGGGGTTTTTTCGGGACACGGCCCAGAGGAGCCCGGCGAGGGGGTCGAGGCTGAGAGTGGAGGCCGCAGCCTCAACGGCCCCTTCCGGCCACCGGGAGATGTTTGTCGCCTGCTTATCTGGGGCCCGTGACTGTCCCCAACCGTCGTCTCTGCTTATCAGCCGCCAACCCGCCTTGTGACCCGGCGGGGGGGTTGGCGGGGGTGGGGACCGCCCGGCCCCGTCTACACCCGCTGACCCCAACCCCGGGCCCGCTTGTCCGCAGGGACGGGGCTCGGTGGCCGCCACGTGGCGATTTTTTTGCACGGAGGAGGAAAATGAATCCCTCTCTCCGTGCCTCAGTTTACCCTCTGTGCCCATTCACCCCTTCCCCCCCATCCCCGGGGAAAGCCGGGTATCCACATTAGAAGAGCCGGGGACTTGGGGTGGCCGGGTGACACCCCCCAAAGTTCCCCGTCTTTTGGGGGGCCGCCCAGGACTCAGGGGTTGTGTGGACTTCGGTCCTCCGGAGGCCCAGAGAGGAGGCTCAGGGGAAGGTGAGAATAGAGGCCGAGAGAAATCGGGGTGACCCCTCCGTGACCCCCCGCCGCCCTGTGGCCTCATGGGGGGGAGGGGACAGGACTGGGTAACGGGGGAGGGGACAGGTCTTTGCTGGGGGGCAAAGGTCACCCCGCCCCGGTGCATTCTGGGAGGAGTGACACCCCGATGGTGGCCGGGGACATCGGGCCACCACCGGCCGCCCCAAATCTGATCGGGGACGCAGGGTCCCCGTCCCCCCCGGGCCGGCGGCCTCCACCCAATGCGGCCTCCACCCCATGGGGCCTCCCTGCCTCCACTTGTGGCTTTCTTCCCAGCTCGGGCTGCGACCCTTTCTCCTTCTTGGTTTTGTAAGGAGGGGAAACAGAGTCGCACTCTGTCGCCCGGGCTGGAGGGAGTGACATGGCGTCGGCCTCGCTGGCAGCAGCCTCCAACTAACTCCCGGCCTCGAGCGAGCCTCCTGCCTCGGCCTCCCTCCAGAGTAGCTGGGACGACAGGCATGCACCACCACGCCCGGCTCGTTTTTTTTCTATATATTTTTAGTCGTCCGGCTCGTTTCTTTCTATTTTTTTTAAATAGAGACGGGGTCTCGCTGTGTGGCCCAGGCTGGCCTCCAACTCCTGACCTCGATCGAGCGATCCTCCCTCCTCGGCCTCCTCCTGAGTAGCTGGGATGGATGACAGGCGTGAGCCTCCACGCCTGGCTGACTACTGACTCTCTTTAAACCGGGGGCTGCCCGAGTGGAGGGTCAGGGAGGTCGAGGCTGAGCAGGGCCGGGGCCGGGGTGGCGGTGGGGACTTGGGGAGGCCCCGACCTCGTCCCTGCTCGGCCACGAAGGCCGCCCCCCACGGCCGACATTGCTTCGGCCGCACGCTGCCCTTCCCTTCGTTGAAACGCCCGGCTTGGAAAACTCCTACTCTACCTGCAAAACCCCATGCGGCCTGCCCCGGCCGGCGAGAAAACACACACACAGAGGCCGCCAACCGAGCGTCCCCACCCCCGGCCGATGTCGCCGCGGCCATGCGCCGCCCTTCCTCCCCTCGAAACGCCTGGCTTGGAAAACTCCTACTCTACCTGCAAAACCCCACCCGGCCTGCCCTGCCCAACCCGAATTAACCCCGAAGCCTGTTTCCATCAGACGGACTTTTTTTTTCCCCCCAGATAAGCCTTATCTTGTTGAGGCTGGTTTCTTTGGCCTCCCCACCCGGCCTCCCTCTCTCTCTCTGGGGACATTGACTGTCATGGCCGCCCCCGACCCCGGGGGGCCCTGGCGGGGGCGGGGCGAGGACCCGCACGAGGAGGTGGCCTCACTCGGGTCGCCCGCGGGAGGACAGCTGAGGAGGATCCAGGCCTCCACCCTCCTGGGCCTCCGCGGAGGCCTCTTTTCTAACGACGTGCTTGGTGGCAACGGTCGGGGTCGGGGGGTTGGGGTGTCTGGAATCTTCCAGAAGCCCCTGGCCTCCAATCGAACCCCGGGTCCAAGCCGGGCGTGGTGGCGGCTGAGGCCTGTCGTCCCAGCTCCTCGGGAGGGAGGCCGAGGCGGGAGGCTTGCTGGAGGCCAGGAGTTTGAGGTTGCTGTGAGCGAGGCTGATGCCACGGCGCTCACTCCAGCCCGGGCGACAGAGCGAGACTCTTGTCTCAAAAAATAAAAAACAACCCCAGGGCGGAGGCCCTGGGCCTCCAGACTCGGGCCTCCACGGCCGGCCTCCGCGTGGATGTTGGCCTCCCATCCCGGGACTCCAGAGCGAGACGGAGACGAGACAAGCGACTGTGGACACACGTGACGTTTATTGGCAGCCGTCGGAGACCAAGGAGGCCAGGGGTGGAGGCCTGGCGGAGCCTCGAACGGCGTGGCGGAGGCCGGTTCCTTTTCCGGGGCTCGGTGACAAGTGCCACCGCTGTCCCCAGCTCGTCACTGGGGGCGTCTGGCACGGCAGCCCCCGGGCCCCCTCGCCGCGGAGGCTCGGTGCGGAGGCCGGGCGCGGAGGCCGGGCGCGGAGGCCGTCAGGGCGACTGGACCATGCGTTTCTGGGGGTCGAAGACGTAGCGCTTGAAAGAGAGGCTGAGGGTCACGTGCTGCTGGGCTGCGGCCTCCGCCTGCTCCGTGGCCTCCTCCTGCCCGGGGGAGGCCGAGGCTGCCTCCCCGCGGCCCGCCCGGCCTCGCCTCTTGGGAGCCGGGGCCAGGATCCTCTTGGCCTCCTCGCTGAGGCCGCCTGC